TGTTTGGATTTAGTGGTTGAGTGAGGTGATGTAACTTGAAAGGCTTGTCAAGTCCCTCGACCACCAAGGGTGTCGGGGAGTGGCCAAATTTGTTCATGTGATCCCTTCAGCTATCGAGGGTGCCAAATGGATTGGTCCAATTTGCTCATGTAATCCCTTTAGCTATCGAAGATGCTGAATGGATTGGTCCAATTTGTTCATGTGATATCTTTGGCTACCAAAGGTGCCAAAGGGACTAATCAAGGAATTCGATCATATGATTCCTTCGACTGTCGAAGGTGTTGAAGGGAGTAAGAACATGTTCATGGGAGTTCTTTGGTCATTGAAAACGTCGAAGGGTCATGTACTTGTCAGTTTATAGTGGCTGAATGGCCTGTCTGATATAAGTAGTATTAAGATAAGATTAAGATCTTCCATTTGTATTAAAAATAAATATGTTTGATAGAAAAATTATGATTTAATGAAAATTAGAAAATATAGAAAAGTGAAGAATTTGCATTCATGAAGTTTGTGTTTTTTGTTACATTCCAAACTTTTACTAATTAGAATATAGTAAATATCAATTATTTAAATAGAAATAAACTCCTTAATGAGGTTAAATACAAAGGAAATGAATAATAAGAACCTAGACTAAAATAAATAGGATTTTCAAAAAAGGGTAATTTATGTTGGTTATTTTAAGCTTTTTACGTCAAAAAAGGTTTGACGTAAATGCGGGAGACGTAAATTTACGTCGGTTGTGATAGCCAACATAAATTTTCGTCAGAGATTCACAAGAGCCGACGTAAAAAAGTTGTAAACAAAAAAAAAACATAACGCGTGCAAGTAGAATGGGCGGTTCTGCAAGAAGAACGGGCCGTCCTCCAAGCAGAACGGGTCGTTCTGCTTGGAGAATGTCCCGTTCTGCTTGGAGAATGTCCCGTTCTGCTTGGAGGCGTGCTGCTTGGAGATCTACCCAAATGCGAAGAATTTTCTACTTAGTATTAACTAATATATTAAGAAACGATGATCCACCCAAACGCGAAGAAGAGGATAATATTAACTAATATATTAATAGATCAATACATACATTTATTTTCAACATATTAGCTAATATATTAAGAAAGGATTTTCCAAACTAACCTCAAACGCGAGCCCAATGCAATCGGTCAAATACTCAAGAACCACCCAAACGCGCAAACGTACACTCAGATGCAATACACTCAAACGAAATCTTAACTCAAAAGACTTGAATTGCACATACACGCAAAGCTCTCTTGTTTAAATATTGATGTGCGCGTGAAGAAATTTGAAATTTGTAGATATTTTACGTTGGAGCTTGTAGGGGCTGACGTAAATTGGAAAATCTACGTCGGACACAAGCTATATCCGACGTGGATTTTCTTTTTTACGTCGGCCCCTATGAGGTCCGACGTAAAAAGCTTGATTATAATTACAAAAATTCCACCGCATTTTTTTAACGTCAGATTTTCTTTGTCCGACGAGAATATAGTGACGTAAATTACCCTTTTTCTACTAGTGATAGAGTAAATTTTTAGAAACTTAATTTACAATTTTTAGAATTTACTTGAGATTTATGTAATTTTTACTCTATTTTAAATTTGTTAGATGAAACTTAAATAATGTAATTTTGTAATTATCACTCAATGTTGAAAATCTTTTTATCATATTTTTTTGCAAAAAAAATTTAATTAATTTCTAAGTGGGTACGGTATATCCAATACCTGATGGGAACGTGGATAGGAAACAAAAATATCTGTCGAGTATGGGGATAGGGGTCGATATAGGGTATAAACTTGAGGATAGAGATAAAGATATTGAAACATGCACTTGCCCTGCCCCATTGCCATCCCTAAACCATACTTAAAGTACTTGAGTTGACAAAGTAGACTCCACATTCTCCTGGCTCGCAACTAGTTGTTGACGTTTTGAATGAGATTACTAGTTCCCTTAACAAACACTAGATTAACTCATAGGTACAATAATATGGCTTGCTCTTTCTAAAGGAACCATAGCACCTCTACTTTCTCACTGGTCCCACACTTTTATAGTGTGATGCATGCGCTCAACTAAGACACCTTTCTACCCTAAAGAATTATAAACAAAAATTATTAATAAAATGCATTTAGTTAAATGGTAATTAAAATAATAATAATAATAATAATAATAATAATAATAATAATAATAATAACATTATTATTATTATTAGATTTGATAAAATACGAAAAATTATAAAGTAAGAACATGTTTGATTTAATAAATATTTTCTCTCTTCTTTTTTCTTTTTATAAATAATTATAACAATGTTGTTTTATTTTTAGTTTGTTTTTTATTTTAAAAAACTGTATAAAATAATGAAAACAAAAAAAATGACATTTGTTTTTTATGTACAAGTCATTGGAACAGAAAAATAAAATGGAAGCATAATATTATTCTAGTAATTTTTTAAAAATTAGAAAATATTGTTCATTAAACAAACATAACTTAAAAGTGATTCAAATGTATGAAGTATATTAAATCAAAGAAAAATGTAGTGGTATCATAGTACGGATCAAGTTAGTTTCTACCAAATGTTAGATTATTTAATCTAATATTGACTCATATATTTAAGAAATAATATTTAATGTGATGGTTGTTGGATTTAAAATATATTAAAAATTATTGGAGATTATTTTAAAGTTATTAAATTTATTCTCTTCCTTCCTTCTCACTTCATTAAAGACAATTTTGACAATAAAAAAAAGTAATTTAAAAAAGTAGATATTGACTACGTGATCATTAAATTTGTTAAGTAAGATTTCACTTGACAAATTATATAAAATAAATGACACCCTTAGTGTCTAGAAAATTTTTTCCTTCTATATGTATTCTAATAAAGTGTAGAAAATATTTATTGTATATACACCACATATTAATAAATATTATATTTACCAAAAAAGTAAATGTTGGTAAATAATAACAAATCGTAAAATTTGTTAAGTGAGATAAAACGAGAACTATTTGTGAAAATATTTTCTAGTAATTTTGTAAAAATTAGGAAATATTGTTCATTAAACAAACATACCTTAAAAGTGATTCAAATGTATGAAGTATATTAAATCAAAGAAAAATGTAGTGGTATCATAGTACCTCCCATGATACGGACCAAGTTCGTTTCCCTTGATGTTCACCAAATGTTAGATTATTTAATCTAATATTGACTCATATATTTAAGAAATAATATCTAATATGATAGTTGTTAGATTTAAAATATATTAAAAATTATTGGAGATTACTTTAAAGTTATTAAATTTGTTCTCTTCCTTCTTTCTCACTTCATTAAGAACAATTTTGATAATAAAGAAAAGTAATTTAATAAATAAATAAATAAATAAATGAAAGTTATGGAAGTTAAGAAGTGGAATTTTTTCGCAAGAAATTTCGCAGGAAAATTTCCTGCAAATTTTAAAATTCGCAAAAATATATTATCCACGAAGGTATTACCTGTAAATAAAATTTCGCAGAAAAATTTGTAGGAACAACGTTTCCTGCAAATTTTTATGAAAAATTCGCAGAAAAAGTCGCATGTAATAAGATAAATTCTAGTAGTGAATACTTGACTCAAAAAACCTTTTTTCATCCTGGAGTTTTGAAAAACGTGATATTCGAATACATGTTTTATTTAAATGACTGGAAATTGTATTTGAATGAACAAATTTTATTTGCATAGTTGGATAGTTTATTCAAATGATTTGTGTTCTATTTGAATAGCTGATAAACCTACAATTTTTTCAAATTGACATCATTCTCATGTCTCCAACGAGAAAAAATAATTCGAGACAAAAACAAAAACTTATGCACTAGAATCTTGAACAAAACCGTAGATGTAACTGGCAAATGAATATCTACTTAACCTAAAGAAAAAAAGGCTAACAAAGAAAAAACATGGAAGTTAAAAAATGCAAAGTCCTATGTTTTTCTGTATCAATAAATAATATAACAGAAAATTAAGTATTGGAGAAATTATAGCAATCAAAAACTAGTTATAAAAAACCTTAGTATAATTTCATTAGTCCTGCAAGTTATTTTATTCAAATAAACAACATAAACAACAATTCCACTTAGTTGTATTTTGGTATGTAACATAATGGTAAAATGTGATTTTTAATTGATTATAATTGTTTTCCTCTTCATCCATTCAAACTAAAAAAAAACTTTATAAAATTATTTATCTTCTATTTCTTATCTATTTCTCTTAAACCAAACAATCGTATTTTCATCTTTTCTCTACTCACTTATTTCTCTCTCTTCTATTTCTCTTCACTCTATTTCTTACCTATTTCTCTCTTCACAACCAAACATACACTAGTACAAAAAGGGTAATTTATGTTGGTTATTTTAAGCTTTTTACGTCAAAAAAGGTTTGACGTAAATGCGGGAGACGTAAATTTACGTCGGTTGTGATAGCCAACATAAATTTTCGTCAGAGATTCACAAGAGCCGACGTAAAAAAGTTGTAAACAAAAAAAAAACATAACGCGTGCAAGTAGAATGGGCGGTTCTGCAAGAAGAACGGGCCGTCCTCCAAATGACTATTCCAGTACTCCACAATTATAATGGGTACTGTAAATAAAAATAAAATGACAGTTCACCTGCTTTGGATTTGAGTTTGGATTCGAATTTTTTCTGATTAATAAAATTGAGGATGAGGGCGAAGATAAGAATGTTAATACCCGCTTCATTCTCGGCCCGCTTAAAATTTTTATACGTAAAAATTTGTATTATCTTAATTTATTTTATTTTTTTATTTTCATATTTATTAAAAAAAACTCAGGAACAGGGATGAGAAAACCCAAACTCAATAAAAAAACGGGATAAGGACCTAGAATTTATAGTTGTTAAATTTGTGGGGATGGGTCAAATTATTCGTCCCCACCCCGTTGATAACCTCTTAATAAAAAATACACAACATTTGTATTCTTTTTAGTGAATTTGAAAATGAATAAAGTTTTGAGAATGTATGAGAGAAAAGTGGCTTGCATTAAAATCAAGGCATGTTGGTGGAAATACATGAAATAAGAGAAGTCACTTGCATCCAGCGTTATGAAAGGAGGAAAATACAGACACGAATATTTTGCGGAAAAGAAAAAAAGGTGTTGATTGCTTTTAAAAGGCATTTAGGTGCCACTGCCACTCAATGATGACCAATGATGAGAAGGGTGAAGTGAAGGTGGTTGATGAGTGTGATGAGAAGGCAGAATCACTTGATCCGACGGCAGAGAGTGATTCCATCACCAACCGGTAGCATGCAAATTTCTATCCTGGGGTCCGCAGCGAGGGCCTTGTTCAGCTCCAACACGAAGTCCCTGTAATACCTAACGTACTTCCTGAGAGGCGCATCAGGGGGTGCCACCACAGACCCGTTCCACAGGGTGTTGTCGTACCCGATCACACCCCCAACTTTCACCAGCTCAATCAGCCTCTTGTGGTAGTTTATGTAGTTGTCCTTGTCCGCATCCACAAAGATGAAATCGTAGCTCCCATGGTTCTTCTCCTGCATTTCACCGCACACCATTACTTGCAATTCCAACAGGCAAATTAACTCACACATTCAAAAGCTTACATCTTTCATCATTTCATCCAGAACTGGGAGAGCAGGACCTTCTCTGAATTCAATTTTGTGCTCAACGCCAGCTTTTTTTATCACTGGCAAACCCAGCTCGTAATTCTCCCTGTTAATGTCCATGGCCAAGATCTGCGCCAAGTAAAACCATTAACTCAAATTTTACACTTTTAGCTATGATGCCAACACTCATTATAAAATTCTTTTTTAATACCTTTCCATCTTCAGGAAGAGCGAGGGCGGTGGCTAGCAGAGAATAGCCTGTGTAGACACCAATTTCCATGGTGTTCTTTGCATTGATAAGCTTAAGGAGCAAGTTCAAGAATTGCCCTTCGTCCGCAGAGGTGGTCATGATGTTCCTGATGTTGTTTTCAACTAATCAGTAACTAACCTCAAACCAACCATGAGTAAAGAAACCAAATAATTCACACGGAAAACGAATTAAGGTCATACCATGGGTGTTTTGCTGTCAACTCTCTCAATTCCTTCATGGCTTCATGTTCTCTTGGGTAGACACTGGTCTCTAGAATATACTACACAGCATAACCAACCAAAATAACCATTTTGTCAATACCCCAAAAAATCAAAAGGACATGTAACATGTTATAATAAAGTTTTGGGCACAAAATTATAAATTATAAAAAAAAAAAAAAAAAAAGGCATGCAATTGAGTGTACCTGGTAAAGGGCATCACTCTGGAGAAGGCTCTTGTGCCCAACTTCTTGGTGCCTTCCAGCTTCGGTTTGGTTTTGATCGTTGTTTGCCATTGCTATAATCCTTGTGCGTTTTGTTTTGCTTTCTTTGTGTTGAAGAGTTTAATTGGGGCTTGATGAAGTGGGGTGTAGGAGGGTGGTTAATATAAGGAAGGAAAAGTCCGGTTCGAACCGGTATGATGAATGAAAAAGACTATGGTGTTTGGTTGAACCGGTTGGCGTCCGGTCCGGGGTTGGTGAGGTTTGTTGTCTATTGTTTGAGCAATAAGCGTGGTCGTCCAAGGCTCCACTTAATAATTGACCCCTATGGTCTTTTTTCATTTGTTGGTAGGGATTTTCTGCATTTACATAAATTGGTTATGACATCAATTTAACGAATTATGACATTTTAAATGGTATATCAAAAAGTAATTTATTATGCCACAAAATGCATTTAAGGAACAGGACCTGCTCTTTTGTTTTAGAAATTCAGATGTTTCAAGGCTTTATCTTCAATTTGTAAGTGCCCAACATTGTGACTCAAGCATATTTAAAAATTGGTGCTTTTCTGTAAATAGATTATGAATTTATTCTAAGTTATATTCATTTTTTCTCTTATTTTTCTTAGTTGTGTAAGTCAGGATTAAGAAAGAGGTCGACAGTGGGGGTGTTGGTGATGAAGGAGGGGCTGGTTGGAATGGTGGGTCCCATAGGTGTGGTTGAAAATTACACATGACAAGTGAAGTTGGTTTGGGGTTGGTGAGGGTACTGTGTCTAGACGTGTAATGGATCCACCTCGAGATTAGGCGCAAGAGTTGGTCGTCTTCTAAGTTCTAATGTTTCTAAATTCAGTTTACCAAATTTTGTGAAATGGAATTTTGAGTAAAATATTAGACTGTGTGGTTGAGGTGTTTTTCCGCCGTAACTCTGACTTGATAATACAAATGCATGCAAGACTCGGTAGTTCATCATTAGTTGTGTGGCTTATGTCTCGTGCCAATGCCATTTTTTTTTTAAATTTTTTTTATGATTTACATAGTGTTTTAAAATTAATAAATAAATATTAATTTATACTTATAGATGTAATTTTTATTAGTTTATCTGTATTAGAATAATATTTGGTTAATAAAAATCGAATGAACATCATATTGATCCTAAATTTTGGTATAAATTTCACAATCACTGAATTAAAAGATTTATTTATAATTTTATTTTAACATGAATAAATTTAATTTTTTTATATATTATAAAAGTTTAAGTGAGTTACGTATTAATTAGAATTGATCTGAGTTAAGACAAGTTTCAAAACTTAAATAATGCTTATAAAGATACTTAGAAATTTAGTATGGATAAAGTCTTCACTTCAACAAGAATTAAACTCATGTTAGATAGTAATACAGTCAAAGTACTATCTTTATTGTTATATATTACCTTTATTTCTATCTAATTAAAAATATCTGTTTATAATTATATGTAACAAGACGAATCCCCGTAGTAAAGTATGAGACAATTACTACCACTAAGTTTTCTATTTTTTTTTTACCTAAATGTATTTAATTAATAATAAAATCTGTCCCCACAAAAAAAAGTATTATCCTCATAAAATAATATTTTTTGAAATCAGTGTTAAAAATTGTAAGAGATAAAAATGAAAATAAATTAATACTAATTTATTATTTTAATTCTAATTTTTATCATTTTATTCTTAATCTAATTCTAAACAAATCACACAAAATTAAAAATACATACCTTAATTTTTCATAAAATATCAAATAGAAAGAGAAAAAAGAGAAATTATCGTTCAATTTATTAAATAATTTTAATTTTTAGAAAATAAGGTATTTAGTTTTTTTCAAAAAAATATTTATTTTATAAAATAAATCATTATATTTTCTTTATAAATATATTATAATTTTTTGTCCACACTAAAGAAATATTTTGTATACTCGCTGTGTAAGATCCTCAATTCATATTGTACCATGTATTAATTATTTTAGGTTAAAAATATCTCTAATTAATGAGAATGTTAAATAAAAGGTTTATAGTAATTAGGAGGGAAAAAAGTATTTTTTTAAAATAAAAATTAGGTATGACTTGCATCACTAAGAATAATGGCATCCAACAATATTGGCACTTTAAAATCTAACAATCATTTGCAACATATCATATATATATATATATATATATAAAGGAAAAGAAAAAAAATAGACAAAAAACTATATTGGGAACTAGGTCAAAACTCATAAACAATAACTAACAAAACCTACATAATAGAAGACCACAACAATTTTGAAGAAAAAATCATCACTAGAAAACCTAGGGAGAGAATCCCACCACCTATATACTTGTCTATGATAAAAGTCATAAATATAACTAGCTAGCTTAAGAAACTTCTTCTTCATAAATGTGAGTGGCAAAAAATCACATAGTAGAACAAAGATGACAACAATACAACCACTTATTTCAAATTTCCCGATGAATTAAAAACACATCCTTAAGAACTAATAAAACAAGGATAGAATCACATTCCAGCCAAACGAGAGAAAAAAGTATTAATTAAGGATAATTTTGAAAAAATTATATAAAAATTAGGTATCTTTATTATTATTATTATTATTTAAATCAACTACTTTTCTTAATTTTGATCAATTAAATCTTATCTTATGTATAGAAATAGTAGTATAAAAAATAAAGGTTTAAATATGTTTAAACTACCTCGAATTAGCTCAATTTTTAGATTACTACTTTTTAATTTTTTTTTTGTTAAAATTACCTGACTAATATTTTTTTTTCAATTTAGTACCTAATGTTAGTCTCTTCTATTAAATGACGATGTGGCAAACGGACTGTCACGTCATCATCCAATAGTGTATGTCATGTCAGCACACATGGTCACCTCATTCTCCACGTAAATTGCCACATCATATTTATTTTTTTTTTTAAAAAAATTAGTTTCCAAACCCCCTCATTCCCCAACCTTAAAACGCTCGTCGGCGCTGCCGTATTTGGAGCCAGGTAAGGGAATCCCGGGCCTTAGCAACTGCATCATGAAAACCACAATCCCTAACTACAACAACAACACCCCAACCTATTGAGCCTGAACAATGGGTTGCCACCGCCACTTCCCACTCTTTGAACCCAACCACCACCACCACCACCCTTTCCCCTACTTCTCCCTCCTCCGATTTGAACCGGACCCAATCGAACCCTTATCCACCCCCTGACCCTCCCCGCTCTTCTTGTCAGAATCCCCCTCTGGCCTTGCGCCTTCGCTTGCCCTGGCTGCGCCACCGTGCACCCTCCATAGCCCTAGAACCCTAACAAGCACCGAATTAGGTACGAAACGGCATGCGTTGCCACGAAACGGCATCATGGTGGAGGGCTTGCGCTAGTGGTGGTGTGAATTGAGGTAAATTCTAGTGTACGTCAAGGGTGAGAGGTAGAGATACTCCAATGCCGACATTGGAAGATGGTGGAGAGAGAAATAGAGAGACCCGCGACATCAAAAGCGAAACTTTGAATGCCCCTTTCGTTGGCGTGCATGAACCTGTTATGTGGGTTGGAGAAGATAATCTTCTGCTTTGGTTTTGATGATGTGTGCCAATGGTAGCAGAAGAAGGGAAAAGAGACAGGGGGATCCGATAGGACATGGTGGTCGTTGGATTCTGGATGGGTTGACGATCTCAACCGTCCAGATTGACGCAGGTGGGGAATTGGAGCGTTTTGAGGTTAGGGAATGAGGAAGGTTTGGGAAACTATTTTTTTTTTAAATTCAAATATGACATGGCAATTTACGTGAAGAATGAGGTGGCCATGTGTGCCGACATGGCATACACTGTTACTGTTGGGTGATGACGTGGCAGTCTGTTTGCCACGTCATCATTTAACAAAGGAGACTAACGTCAGGTACTAAATTGAAAAAAAAATATTAGTCAGGTAATTTAAACAAAAAAAATTAAAAAGTAGTAATATGAAAATTGAGCTAATTCGAGGTAGTTTAAACATATTTAAGCAATAACTAACAAAACCTACAAAACAGAAGACCAGAACAATTTTGAAAAAAAAAATCATCACTAGAAAACCTAGGGAGAGAATATTAAGTCAGATGAAGACATTCCCAAAAAGATTTTGAGTGAGAAAAATATAATATATGTTGTTATCTCTAACAAGTGAGTTAGTGTTTCAAAAAACATAAGAACATGTAAAATGATGAAGAGGCATAAGCATCAGACGATACAAAACGGAATGCCAACATAAGCACTCAACAAGCCAAATGAAGAACAAGACCATGCCAAGCACAATCGAAGGCAGCACATAGGGAATCAGGTGAAAGATGGTCAAACAACCAAGAGGAAACTCCAGAAGAACTGGAAAGTCTGACCATATACAAAGTCGACCAGATGAAAGGAAAAGTTAATGCGTTAATAACAAATGATTAGATTAAGGTCAACGTACTGATCTAAAAGCTGATACCAGGCGCAAACGAAAAATGACATGCAATCATCTGAGAAATCAAGCTTTAAAAGACATTTTGAACATCGTCTACACTCACAGAAGAACACACGAAGTCATTCAAATTATTAGAAGAGAAGAAGAAAGAAGAAGAGCATGCTCAAACACTAAATCATGCATATGTCAGAAAAAGTACATCACTTTTTCAGGCAAGAACAAAAGTTCCACAGCTATTGGATCAGAAAAGGACAAACAGTTTCCTAGGACTCTGCTATATTCAAACACAGCTACTAACAGAGCAAGGAAACTTCACGCATTGTCTATAAACGGGAAGCAACATTTAATGTACGAATCTGAACATTAAATGATAAGATCAAACTGGTCGTGAACGACTATATTTGCTTCAACGGACAATTGCAATGGAAAAATTTCACAAGACTATATATAAGCCTCAACATCAAACCTTGAGAGGTTGGCTTTTCCCTGATCAAGAAATAGTGATATCAAGCCCAAGAAACAGAGAGACCAGAGATGAGCACTTATAGTCATATGTACAATATAATATTGTAGTTTTATCTCTGTAAACTAAGGTGTTCAAAATGTTAGTTATGAACAAAACCTTAGTGTGTGTTGTACACCTATGCATCATCTCCATGAGAGTAATCCAAACACTCAAACACAAGTCTCTGTAAGACTAAGG